GATCAAACCGTTTGCCTCACGCTTCGGCGCTCATGGCCGGATCGTTTGTTTAAGAGTGGAACTCTGATGAGCTACAGAGTTCTTTCTTTGTGTGACTCTCTCGGAAAGTAGCTATACGTTGTGCAGAGAGAGAGAGAGAGAGAGAGAGAGAGAGAGAGAGAGAGAGAGAGAGAGAGAGAGAGAGAGAGAGAGAGAGAACGAAAAAACGAACGAACGAACAAACTTTATTTTCAAAGGGTTACAAATTTGGCACGCAGGCCCGTCTGACATTCGGCCCTTCCAAGCACTCATTTTTCAGAATACCAATGCCTGTTATCAATAATGCATGTAATGGATATAATAAAGAATATTATGTGTATTATAGAATAATGCATACACACATCATGTGTACACAATCTTACACACTCACACATACGTATATATATACTCTTACATTCTCTTACATGCACACTAATATACAGACATACCTGATGCATACATACACGCATCTACATACATACACAAACAGAAAACACACACACATACACAGACATAAATTCACAAACAGAAAACACACACACATACATGCACACACACTTTTTTCCCATACATACACACATACACATACAATCACATGTACAGACACCCACAACCACACATTTACACTCACATGCATACATACAGAGAGAGAGAGAGAGAGAGAGAGAGAGATAGAGAGAGATAGAGAGAGATAGAGAGAGATAGAGAGAGAGATGGAAAGAGATCGAGAGACTGAAAGCCTAAAGGATATAACCATGTGCAATTGCAACATTAACTCTAACCAGTATCATCACTATCATGAGCAGAATGTTCATCTAGCAGACAGGAGCTCCGAAAAATGTACACTTTAAAGGGACAAAATGGGAGTTGAATAAAATAATTGTAATAGTAAATAAAACTTCTTTTTTTCTTCTTCACGTTCACCGGCTGTAAACTCTGGCCAAATGTCTGGTTTGTCCACTTCTTTACCTTAATCCTGTTCCAGAAACTGAGTGCTGTGTGCACATCCGTTTTACAGGTCTGACTCATTTGCATGCAGACTGTCGCTTCCTTGGATCTCATGCAGATGTACTCCGACTTCTAAGAAAGCTCCCAATTAGTCGGCTCTTACGACACGCTTTTAGGCAGGCATTATGTCTATTCTTGTTCAGATTAATACCCGAAGAGTTTAAAGTTGGCAAAGTAAGACTCGCGATGATGCTGCCAGTCTCCATACTCCACGGTCACGGCTCTCCAGTCTGCTCCAAAATCAGGTCAGAAATGGAAGTTCCTAGATGCGATTGAATCAGCCCAATACTAACTGAAATTGAAAAAAGTGATGGGTTACACATAAACCGACCGTCGAGGACTAGGTCACGGGAAAGTCAGATGGTGGTCCAAAGCCACTTCTAAAGAGCGCCAAGACATAGTAATACCAATACACGGTAATAATAGATAAGGAAAGCCGAAAACGAGATTCGGGTCCAGAAAGCCGCTCAACAGTCGCAGCAAGGTCAGTGGATTGTCCTAGAGAGCCCCTTGCCACGAATACTCACATGGGGTGAGATCTAGCCAATGACACAGCTACGATCTGCCTACGATGTGTTACAATCCGGTGTTACCATGGTCAAGTGCATGCGGCTACCGACCATTTGGAGCACGTATTGTCCGCGTGCAGAAAAGCCCTAGGTCAAGGAAGATATACTTGGGGCCACAAAAAGTTCATGAAAGAGTTAGCGGCCGTTGTGAACAGAGCTAGGATGAGGGTAAATACGAGGGCCAGTCCTACTGTTGTCCCCGTGCGCTTCTTTAAGGCTGAGCAAATTTATAAGGGTAAATTCAACAAGGTCGCATACGCTCCATCGATGCTTGAATGGCTAATGGCGGTTGACCTGCCTGATCACGAAAAGTACTCAGAGGTAATCCGGAAGACCGGCCGGCGACCCGACATTGTCCTCCACTGCAAAGAAACGACAGTTCGTCCTGAATGAGCTGACCGTGCCGTATCAGTCGCGAAAGGACGAAAGTCATATGTATAAGCTACATAAACCAGCCGCGACTTCGCGGCTGGTTTGAGGAGAGACGAAGGGCACACAGTAAGAATCTTCGCCGTCGAGGTAGTCGCAAGAGGTCTCATTTCCACTTCTATGTACAATGTGATAAAGCAGCTGGGCTTTCGAGGAAATGAGCGCAAAGGATCACTAAAAGAACTGGGCGAAGCTGCTAAGAGGGCTTTGAGCTGACTCTGGATACAACGGAACGTCGTGGGAGACGGGCCTCGGTAGGCTGGTTCGGGTGTCTAGTGAAAAAGAAAGTCTTATCCCTTGTTCATCGTGTCCTAATTGTCTGCCGGTGTCCCTCTGCCAATTGCCAACAAAGTTTAGCATGTGTCCGATAAACCAACCGTAAGCTTGCCACTTGGTCGTCAAGGTATGCTGACTGATCTAATATGCTACAGCAGCGACTATGTAAATAAACTTTTAATCTCACATTACCTTTTGCATAGTCACCATTTTCATCTTGTCCTTGTTCGAGAACATCCGGTAATACGTGCAGCAGGAGCATATCAATCCTGAGCTTCGTGAACACAGGTGGGCCCACCCTCTGAAATTGTCTAGGAGCTCGTGGGTCAAAACAGTTGTGGACGAGTGAATAATTCTACATGCTCCTCTGTGGAGTTTCTTCTTATCTTTTCTGTTCACCCCCCCCCCCCCTCTCTCTCTCTCCAACCTGGAACCCAAACACGGGAGACAATAAATTAACCTAATAAAAGGCGTTTGTAAAGTCTGACAACACTTTGTATGCTTAACAAATTGACAGTCCACGTAAGTGAGATTATAAAATGTTTACCACACATTTTTTTTTAAATTTAAAAAAGTAATTACATTAAAGCTGAAAAGTACTAATGAGATATGTTTTATAACATGTGTAGGCAATGTCTCAGAATAGGCCTAAAAAAGAACTGAACACGTCTCTTTATACTGTTAAATAATTCTTCAACTTGTCTGCTCCCCATTCCCTCTCACCCACCTTTAAATGGTAATTCTGATTGCGTTTTTTCTGGTTGGCAAATTGTAAGTATACTATTTTTGTATTTACAAAATTCTTGCTTCCGTTTATAACACCATTCTGTTCTAAACGCAAAGAATTACTCAGACAGACGACAGCCATTCATTGAATATTGCTTAACTGTTGACTGTGGAGCACATTTTTGATGACGTCATGCAGTTAGTTTTTTAAATATATGAAATATAAAAAGTTTTGTAAGACTTTACAAACACCCTGCACTACTGATAATAATGTCGCTGGCTGCGAATGAGCCTCACAACCACTGGGTGCCGGGTTCCATACCAGCTACTGGCGATTTGGTAGCAGCCTCGTTGCGTTGGTTTCGACAGCCTACTATTTAGGGGACAACGAGAAACTACGGAATGTAAAATTAGTTAGTAAAACCACACAGAGCCAAAAATGCTCGAATAGGTTCTGCCACGTCTCTTAATGGAAACGCAATTAACTGACTAACTAATAATAATAGTAATGAGCTCAGTTGTGAATGCTGTTAATACTAATACTAGCTGTATTTTCGAAATTACACGAGCTGACACATACATACTTAATCAAAGAAGAAGAAGAAAGAAGAAGAAGAAGAAGAAGAAGAAGAAGAAGAAGAAGAAAAAGAAGAAGAAGAAAAAGAAGAAGAAAAAGAAGAAGAAAAAGAAGAGAAGAATAATAGTAATAAAATGATAATAATAATAATAATAATAATAATAATAATAATAATAATAATAAGAAGAAGAAGAAGAAGAAGAAGAAGAAGAAAAAGAAAAAGAAGAAGAAGAATAAGAAGAAGACGTAGAAGAAGATACAGCCTATCATGACCGCCATCAGCAGAGAAATGATTGGAGTTGAGGGAGGGAGCATACTTATCCCCCTCTCAGTAATTATCTTGTTTGACTAGTTATTAAAAAATATTGTTACATTTATTATAGCACAGTTAAACAAGGCTTAGGCTTTTTGAAGCCACCATCCCAAGAAAATCGTGACGCAGGCAGCTACAGGGGTCTTAAGCCAGGTTTAATTGCGCAATAATTATACTACATGGACATTAATTGAGCACTGTCGAATCCCACAGAGAATTATTAACTTAGTAAAGGCAACATATAAAGACATGAAATGTCGAGTTCTTCATGAGGGAAAGCTAACAGATACATTTGAAATGAAAACAGGTGTGCGACAAAGATGTATTTTGTCTTCTCTTTTATTTTTATTGGCTATAGACTGGATTCTAAAGGCAGCAACTGCTAACACAAAGAATGGATTTCAGGTGACCCCTACAAAACAGCTTGATGGTCTGGACTTCGCTGAAAAAATTTCTCTTCTGTCCCATTCACGGATTCAGATCTAAGATAAATAAAATATACTTGATGCGAGATCCCAGCAGCTGTCTGAAAATCCCAAAAGGAAAGTCAAAAAAATAAATCATACAAATAGTAATGTTGTTTCTCTGAATGATACCCCACTTCAAGACGTAAAGTCGCACACCTTTTCTGGCAGTAATGTAGATATAGATGGTGGAATTGACAGAGATATTAAAGAATTATTACAAAAGGCAAGACAAGCTTTCATGGCACTAGGGACTTTATAGAGAAAAAACAATAACAAGAAATAAAATAAAAAAAACTTATAATTTTTAATTGTTAGGTCAAATCAGTACTGTTGTCCCCCGTGTGGGTTCCGGGGCCCCATTGTGGGGAAAACAAGAATAGACCCACTGCCTCCCCAAAAGCATGTCGTAAGAGTCGACTAATTGGGGAGCTTCTTTTAAAGTCGGAGTGCATCTGCCGGAGAGGCAAGGAACCAACAGTCTGTATTCAAGAGAATGTGGTCTGTAAAACTGATGCACACGCAACACTCAGGTTCTGGAGCAGGACTGCAGTTCATTAGTGGACGAGCAACCAGAACCTTCCGCCAGAGTTTACAGCTGGTGAACGCGAAGAAGAAGAAGAAGTACTGTTGTATGGAGCGGAAACACGGAGAACAACTAAATCAACTAATAAGCAACAAAATATCATTAGCTCCTGCCTGCTCAGAATAGAAGGAATTAAATGCTAATTAATTATGATACACTCTCTAATGTAGAGTTTTGGGAGAGAACTAAGCAAGTTTCAGTGGACCAAGAGATTAAGAAAAGATGCCGGCAGTGGATAGGACACACGATGAGAAAACTGGAGAACATTCTTACACTGGAGCCCTCAGGGGCGTAGAAAAAAAAAAGGAAGACAGAAAAACACATAGAGAAGGGAGCTAAAGAGTAAAGTTTAAGAAATGGGGAGGACATGGCGAAAGCTGCCTGCGATAGCCAAGGATAGAACGACTTGGCGTGAGTTTGTTGAGTGCCTATGCTTCATTATCGGTTTGAAATGCATAAAAGAAGAACACTATCATTGTTACTACTGTGTGGAATGGTAAAATATATAATCATATATTTCAACAATTGAGGTCTGGGGTTGGGGGGGGGGGGGGGGGGGGGGGGGGGGGGGGGGGGGGGCAAGGGTGTGGGGAATAGGGGTGGATGTACCAGCGCTTACTTTGTCAATCGTGTAAACTATAAATTCATGTCTCCGTATTGTCTTCACTGCATACTTCTCAGTGTGTGCCTATCTGTCCGCATCCTTGTATTCCTGATTGCCGACATTTTCACCTACCTACTACCTAATCACTTTATTATTTATCTGACTGACTGACTGTTTATTTACCTGCCTGCCTATCGTCTTACCTACATATCTGACTGACTGTTTATTCACCTGCCTGCCTGTCGTCTTACCTACATATCTGACTGACTGTTTATACACCTACCTGCCTATCGTCTTACCTACATATCTGACTGACTGTTTATTCACCTACCTGTCTATCGTCTTACCTACATATCTGACTGTTTATTCACCTACCTGCCTATCGTCTTACCTACATAACTGACTGACTGTTTATTCACCTGCCTGCCTATCGTCTTACCTACATATCTGACTGACTGTTTATTTACCTGGCTATCTATCGTCTTACCTACATATCTGACTGACTGTTTATACATCTACTTGGCTATCGTCTTACCTAAATATCTGACTGACTGTTTATTTACCTGGCTATCTATCGTCTTACCTACATATCTGACTGACTGTTTATACATCTACTTGGCTATCGTCTTACCTAAATATCTGACTGACTGTTTATTTTACCTGGCTATCTATCGTCTTACCTACATATCTGACTGACTGTTTATTTACCTGGCTATCTATCGTCTTACCTACATATCTGACTGACTGTTTATACATCTACTTGGCTATCGTCTTACCTAAATATCTGACTGACTGTTTATTTACCTGGCTATCTATCGTATTGCCTACATATCTGACTGACTGTTTATTCACCTGCTTGCCTATCGTCTTACCTACATATCTGAATGACTGCCTGTTTGTCTCTCAACCTGTCTGTCTGCTTATCTGCCTGTCTATTTATCTGCATGCCTGTGTATCTTTCTTTTGAGTACCTAACAAAACAAGTAAGTACTCACCGAAACAATACAGTGTGAATAGAAACACCTGTATATGCAACATAATTCTGTCAAGACCCCTGATCACTTTAGTGGCTGTGACAGAGCTACCTGCCCGGCTTCTATATATCGCCTCTGACATAAGTGGGTCAACACAATATGTATGTCAGCAGTTTTCAGTCACCCAAAACAAAATATTCAATAATGATCTATGGATTAAACTACAAAATATTGTTTTGAGATATTGCCTGACAGCCTTGTGTCAGTCAACAGTATGTTTGTGTCGATGTCTCATTTACTGGCTAACTGTCCCTGTTATTTACTGACATCAAATGTTGTCCTATTTTTAAATTTCCCCCGATGTACTTTAAAAGTTATCTTCGTGGATCGTGAACGGATGTGACAGAAGACTTGTCACGTAGATCTATTGTCTTCATCGATTTGTTCTTTTGTTACGGTTACTGAACTTTGTTCACCATTATTGTCTCTCCCGTTTTCAATTTCACAGAGGATATTTCAAGTTCATGTTTTTCCCTAGAATTGTGGAGAGTAAGTAAATATAATCATCGCAATACAATAGGCAGCGACCATGAGCAGTTTACACGTTAGAGCAGAGACTATGAAGCTAATTAAAAACATCACAGGGCCATCACTATATCGAGCTTCATCTACAACAGAGAATAAACGAAGTATTTTGAAAACTAGTTAGATAAATGAGATAAAGACAAGGGAAAGAGAGGTAGAGAGAGGAGGGACGGAATAAGACAGGAAAATAGAGGTAAAAGGGAACGAGTGATGTATATATATATATATATATATATATATATATATATATATATATATGTATATTTGTGTATATATGTAAATACTTAGACAGACAGACAGACAGACAGACAGACAGACAGACAGACAGACAGACAGACAGACAGACAGACAGACAGGCAGACAGACAGGCAGGCAGGCAGGCAGGCAGGCAGGCAGACAGACAGACAGACAGACAGACAGACAGACAGACAGACAGACAGACAGACAGACAGACAGACAGACAGACAGACAGACAGACAGACAGACAGACAGACAGACAGACAGACAGACAGACAGACAGACAGACAGACAGACAGACAGATATATATATAGCGCGTTCAGTGAAGAACGCTTTAACGTCTGTGAGATGCCATATTGTTGACATTAAAATCGAGGCACAGATACAGTGAACACACAGTGCCTCGATTTTAATGTCAACGATATGGCATCTCACAGACGTTAAAGTGTTCTTCGCTGCACGCACTGTCCATAAATCCAGCTTTCCAATGCCAGTGGAGGAGGCAATCCTCCGTTCCTCCCTTGTTTTCGGTTCTCCGACAATAAAGAAAGTACGCTGTTACGAGGCAGTCATGGTCTCCCCGTCATCTTTCCACACAAACTTCCCTTCCTGTTTGATATCGTCACAACCCACCCAGACTGAACGGCGTTCGGTCAGGTTCACCAAGAGCTGGTGCTTCTCCAACGTTTTCACCGACACCAAGTAGGCTCTACTGCTCAGGCAATCGATGTCAGCTGCTGCGTACCTCTCCTGTGCCTAAAACGCCAGGCCGGCTGTCGAATTCAGGCAAGATATCACTCTGAAGCCTTTGGGTGTGTCGCAATAGAAGCTTAGGAAGAAACCCCCCTCCGCAAAGCTCGGGAGCGGCTGCTTCTCGTTAATGTAGGCGCCCAGTGTGCAGAGATCCCGAGTAAGAGTTGAACAGAAAACTGGTGCAGTTGTAATATTTGGTCATGCAGGTTTTTCCGCAAGATGTCCTGGACCCGACGACCCAGGGGTTTCCCAGACGAACGGGACCCCGTCTTCGGTTCAGCTGATGGTAGAAGGGGCGTTGAGTGAACTTTGTTGAGGCTGAACTGGTAGCAGAAAGAACGTGTGCGGTTCCTGTGGATAATAAAACGGTGCCCGTTAAAAGTCAGCTTTTCAACTCTAGAACTATCAAACAAACACGGAGACCATATGCGAAACCAGTGTGGCTAAATTCAGTAATACACATACACTTTCCCAGATATTGTATGAGGATTTTGACCACCACCACACCACCACCACCACCACAACACCACCACCACTACCATTATCAGCTGCAGCATATTCATATAGTAGGTTAGGTCTCCGAAAAAAAAAAAAATTAGAAAAACGGAGGGAGAAGTTCAAAAAAAAAAAATTAATAGTAGTAACAATAGTAATAATAACAGAAAGGGCAGAATAGCAAAGTTTTTGTATACCATCTATATTTAAAAAAAAATAAAATAATAAGATGTGCACAAAACAGATATGGTTATTTAGTTGCGTATACTTTACAGGACGTTGCAGAACCAACCCTAGCATTTTTTGGCTGTTGTGGTTTTCCTAGGCAAGTTTACGTCCAGTAGTTTGCCATTGCTTTCTTGACGAAATATATACTTATTTAAAAACCACACACATTATCGTTGATGTATAAGAGGCAATGGTGTAAATGCTTGTAGAAACTGTGTAAGAGAGCACAGGCGCACTAAACCCATTCTGCCAATCAGACGACAGGCCACTGTGAAAACTAGGGAAGGGTTGTGGGATTAGGCAATGGACTCAGCATTTACTCCTCCCCTACCCCACCCCACTCGGCTATAGTGTTCTATTCTTCTTTAATTGATCAGTACATTTTTGAAATTATTTTTATTGCACAATTAAACATGGCTTAATACCATCTCTATAAGGCAGTGGTCTCCAGCCTGAGACCTGGGGGTGGAGGGTGGGGGGGGGGTGTGGAGAGGGGGCAATGAAGTTTCAATGCGGAAATCAAGCAATTTTGACAATAAATAGATTTATATTTGTAATAATCTGTTGTATACTAACATTCATTTTCCAGTTTAATTAAAATCAAAAATATTTTTACAACTATTAAAAAAAATGTACTAATGGAGAAACTATAAGAAAACTTATCTGTGCAGATAACATTGATATCATTTGAGAAAATGAACTAGAGAAGGTAAAAACTCTGACTCTCTTCAAAGAAGCAGCTTGCAAAATGGGACTAGTTATTAATCAAGATAAGACAAAATACACTATAATAACAAGACATTAACAAGATCTGTAAACACCGGTCACATACAAGTTGATAATATGAAAAACAAACGAATAGAAACATAACATATTTGTGTGCAAACCTGAACTGCTTAACATACTGAGAAAAGAAACGCAATCTATAATACAAGCTGGAAAAAAAGGTATACAGTGCCCTTATATATCTGACAAAGTCACAATCTTCTTCTCGCAATACCAAGAAGAAAATTTATAAAAACATTGATATGAGCAGTCGTGTGATATGGCTCTGAATCTTGGAGAACGACTAAAAGAGACGAAACGTTATTACAACGTTTCGAAATTGGAGTCTTACGATGGATCTTTTGACCCATAAATTGCAGCGGAGAACCGAGAGTGAATAGCAACAACGAAATTATCAATCTGTTTAAATCACCCCTGATCACTGGCATCAAGAGCGCTAATAGACTGATATCGCTGGGACACACTGAGAGAATGTCAGGTGAGAGAAGGGTTACAAAATTGAAAACACAAATAAGTTGAATGGTCGTAGATCCCGAGGCAGACCAAGAAGACCATGGAGAGATAATATCCATACAGACCTACAAACACTAGGTGTCACCAACTGGAAAGAAAAGGCCAACCAGAGTGATGAATGGAGGCAGGTAACATCTATAGCAATAAACTTCAAGGGCTCTAAATACTGAAAAAGAATTTAAAAAAAAAAAAAAAAACGTTTTTGTTTATGTACGTATTGTTAAAAAATCGAAAATGTGGTAACTACTCGTTCATTTATTTATATATTAGGAACAACCCGGCTAGCTAGCTCAGTTGGTTAAAAACCTCTGCGCGACAACCTAGTGACGAAATCCTTATGGCCTGGGTTCACGCCCGGTCTTAGGCAGAGAAGCCATATTTCTCCCAGATTTGCTGTATTTAAAAGGGAATCAAGGCTGAAGGGTATCGATATCCACAGTATCAAACCAAAGGGTTGACAACTCATGTTTTCTGGACACTAAAAAAAAAAAAAAAACTTTAGGAACACATTATGACCAAAACTTAATATTATCTATTTGGTCGCGGCGCTGATAGCACATCCCTGCTGCCCATGTGCTGACCTTGCTAAAAGTATAATGCAAGAAAGCCCACTCATGTGGTGAAACGTTTATCAAACTTTGCATTTTATCACCTTTAAAAAAATGCTTTCGCAAGTGACGACCAATTAATCAAAAATGTATCTTTCTGTCAACATTATAACAGATGATCTGCTGAAGACATAGAAAAACAATGAGTGATGACATCACTTAGCTCCGTGTTGCCAATTTTTAGCATACTGTTTATTTGCGCAGAAAGATAATATAAACGAAGAACTATTTTTTCTCAAAATGTTTACAAACAACTTCAAAATCCTGTAATCCCTTTTTTTTTTTTTTTAAAATTAGTGATAACTTGTTTCAAGAAAATGGAATGTCGTGGGAAAAAAAAAATAGTAGATGCTTCTACAGATGAGGTTCCAGCTTTGATACAATTGATTTTCTAGTAGAAGAGTTCAGTCTTATCTTCCTGATGTGTCATTTGATGACTGATCTTGAAAGTTAGCAGAAATCCATTCATTGTTGACACTGATTTAAGGTGGCCGCGTTAGGAGACTCGCTTTCAAATCAAGCTGCAACTCTCTGCAGCCACGGACCGGTGTTCGAAACCAGGCGGTTCCTGAGGTTCACCCAGCCTCTCGGTAATGGGTACCAGAGTTAATACTCTGGGGTAAATGGAGGATCGTCGCTGTAGCTACGGAGTTGCGTGCGGACAGCGTCATAGGCGGACAGTTTCTTATCAGCTGCCCGTACTGGTGGCAGAGCACTTATGGTTTATAACCGTGTGCAGTGACGCTGGTTCACATCTCCCGACTTTACCTTTACTTTTTTACTGCCACAATAAAAAGGAAACCAAGTTAATTGGTTTATGGCGATTTTAAATTTTTAGGCTTCATTTTTTTTGAGTGCACTACGTTCAGTGTACACTCATGCGGCCATATTATCTGTAAATTGTCTCTTGCAATTTTCTTCCACATACCTTTATGATTCTGGATTTTCAGCTGTAAAACTCATAAAAAAAGCAACTGTTCAAAACCTTGAATAATAAATACTCCGGTAGTGAGGGGTAAACGAAATGCACGGGGGTTCATAGCAAAAGCGAATAAACGTCGTTTAGTGCAACAAAGCCTGGAATATGATATCACGTCTAGTTTGGGAATGGAGATGAAGGCAGTTACTGCTGTCTTCCGCTGGATTGAGAATCAGCTGTACAAACATGTCGTAATGATCACTGTCCCCCAGCGTTTGGTGAAAAGGCGGAGACAAGCATGCTCTTGTGCAGTGAAAATCACCACTTCAGAGGTTCCCGGTAGTTAGCGTTCTTTGAATATTTTCTCCAGGTCATGCTAGTATGTTTGGAAACGAGCAGAGAGACCGGCTGGTTCTAACCACTTGTGATTGATTTGATGTATGACAAGCTAGATGTTGTGAGGGCCCTTTGGGAGCGAGTGAACAGTGCCGAGGTACAAATAAATCACTTCGGTTTGAGGAGAATAGCGCTGCGAGAAGTTATCAGGCGATCTGGCCATCTCCCAACACTCAAGGGAAAGGCAAGACCAATTTACAGTCAGTCAGGTACTTGTACCATCGGAATTAGACCGTTTCGCTTGCTGCTGGAGTTTGAAAGAGAGCGCTAATGGAGTGTAAGAGTACAATATTGTCGATACCTAATTCAACATTCAAAAGTACAACAGCTTTACGCTGAGAATGACCTCTATATTTTGCCATGTCCTAAATGATAGCAAAAATAGCTTATATCATCAAAACAGCCATCACATTGATATATTGGACTATAAATTACCAGTTGTTGGTAAGTATTTCTTTTGTTATTTGAAACTTTGATTTACGTTTTTCTCCAAGGTCGTATTATAAGTGAATGGTATTTTTTCCCTCTTTCTTCTAATTAATCACATTCTGATTTACTATGTTGCAAATTACCCAGCCCCATAGGCAACAATGAACCTCTTCTAACTACAGTGAAAAGACGAGTAGTGCAGTAGGACGGAACAGGTAACAAGATCTAAAGTTTGCTGGGACAAAAAAGTATTACAGGGCTCAGTGGAGAAGGGTAGAGGAGATGAGGCAGACCAGTTAATACCTGCAAACAGAACCTTACTAAACTGGACAGGTCAAGCCTTAGGTATGCAACAAAGGCAACTGACCGTCAAAGATTGAGGGTGCTGATCAGACAATCAACAGGAACTGGTGACCCAACGACAGTCAGTGCTACAAGGCGATGATGATGATGATGGGCTGGAGGAGGTATTGGGGTGGGGTTCCTTGCCATATACTCAAGGGGTTAGAAAAAAGTTGAATGACCCCGCTTCAAGGCTCTAACCCCTAGAGAAGTATGGGGTGCTTAAACCTCATTATACATATTTGTATTATAATGTGTTGGGTGTCAAATAGAATATATCATCATAATCAGCATCATCTTCAAGTGACTTGCCGACTGGCGTGGGTGATCATGCCTCTCCACATGTCTCTGCAACTACATGTAACAGTTTGTTTGCTGACACCCGTCCATGGCATGACAGAAGACTGTCACGAATCTTCTCGCGCTGTCTTTCTCTATCTTTTTTTTTCCTACAAATGTTTCCAGTCGTTACAACAAGTTCCATTTTCCCTTCTCATAACATGACCAAAGAATGATACCTGTCTCTTTCTGATGTTTGTTATAAGTTGTCTTTGAGCTCTTTTTTTTTTTCCCTTCAAAATTTCCCAGTAGCTCTTCTTAGCTGTTTAATAAACTCTAAGGATTCTTCTATAAAACCACATCTCCGAGGCCTCAAGATAATGTTCGGTATGTTTACTTCTTCTTCTTCTGCGTTCGACATCAGTCATGCTAAACATTGAGTCCCGTCTGGGTCACAAATAGGATTGTGCGTTTATGGTCGCCACTAGTCCCCCATAGCTTCTATTGCAATGTGGCTCCTTTGGGCCAGATCCACAGTCTTTGCTGGGAGAAGTTAGGGCAGTACTGTAGTATGTATGTTTACTCCTTGTCCACGATTCCTTCAACACATAGAGTTACAAAAACTGAAATGGATGACAGATGAACTTCTGCAGACAATGGATGATAAAAGAGAGAAAAAAAATGATAAACAAGAATTTTCTTGTATACATAAAGAAATAGTAAAAAAAAAAAAAAAAAAAAAAAAAGAAACCTGGTTGAATCAGATGTGAACAGAGATTTATAAAATGTCCCGGGAAAGATACACAATCCATGCACCAACATATAAGTATATTAACAGGGAAGAAGATGTGTAATATCACTGAGTGTTTAAATTTTTAAAAAAAAAAGATAAATATTAATGGGGCAAAGTGACATAATTAAAAGATGGACAGAGTATTTGGGTGATCTGTATGATGATAATAGACCAAAAGTATATTTGCAGAACAACAGTGAAGACCCGTCAAAAATGTCTTGAGAAGTTGGATGCATTGCATCACATGAAGAAATGAAAGGCACCCGGACCAGGCAACATAAGATTGGAAGGAATTGAAACCTTGGATTATAACATATTTGAATGAATAAATAAATAAACGATTGAAATTATAATTTTGTATACTGTTGTAGTGGAAGGCAGGGGGTGGGGGACTGGCTAAGGCTCCCTAAACTTTGGAGGGAGAGGTGCCGCACTGCTCAAGGTAACTCCAGCTTTCGACTTCTATGTTGTCAATATTGTGCATGACAGTTTCCTGTTTCCGTATTTCTTCACTGTCTATTTCTTTGTGCCTGCCTCTCTGTCTGCCTGTCTGTATAAGTCGTTGCATTCATGTATACCTACCTCCCTGCTCACCTTAACTACTATATCGGTACTTACTTCTTCACCTACCTATGCATGTACTTACTTACATATCTGACCGCCTCTACCTGTCTGCCAACTTATCTGCCTGTCTGTCTATCTTTCTTTCTTTGAGCACATAGCAAACAAATACTCACCGCAGTAAACAGTATGCTAAGAAACACCCGTATATGAAACATAATTATATAAAGATCTAGGAAGAATAGTACCCGTTCTCACGTCAACAGCCGGGACATGCCAGAGAGCTACCTGCCCGCGTTTATATACAGGTTTTGCCATAAGTTAGTCAACGTAATATTTATGTTAGTAGTTTTACATCTCCTAAAACAAAAGACTCAATAATGACCTATGGATTAACTAAGAAATATTGTTCTGAGATATTGTTCGACAGCCTTGTGCCAGACAATGGTATGTTTCTGTCGATGTCTCAATTACTGGCTCAGTGTCCCTGTTGTTTGCTGACATGAAATGTTGTCCTGTTTAAAATGTCCCCCGATGTATTCAATATATATATATATAGGTCGTGCTACAAAATATCTTCAATGATTATCAGCGGATGTAACATAAGACTTGTTACATAGCTCTATTGTCTTGACTGATTGTTTTGTGTGTGTGTGTGTGTGTGTGTGTGTGTGTGTGTGTGCTACGTCAATTGAACTTTGTTCACAATTATTCTCTCTTCCTTTTTTATTTCTCCGAGAATATTTCAAATTCATATTTTCCCCTGGAATTCTGGAGAGTATATAAATATAATCTTCGCAATACAATAGGCAGCGACCATGAGCAGGCTACACATAAGTCCGTGTTAAAAAATTACAGTTCAAGATTACTTGACGCCACCCTCTGGTTGTGGCGTAAAAGTCTTCTGGGTGTTAAGATAAAAGCTGATGATGCACCTCCCAGAACAACAGACAGATATCGGCTATGGAGCCACTGACATGGTGCCTGGACTAAAATGAGTTATTCGCTGAGGATCTCTCTTCCTGTAATCTGAATGTGGGTTATATTGGATAGTGCTAGGATACTGATCGTCAATTATTACTAACATCCTGTGACAAAGAGGAGAATAAGAGTTAGCAATCCCATGATTGCCATTGACAGATGTGAGATAAGAAAGAAACGAAGTTCTGTTTAATGCTGCTCTCTAGTGACAGCGATAGTTTGCATATGCCAACTTTTGGATTGATAACACAATTTCCTTTCCATAATAGGATACCTATACTCACACAAGTATACCACGAATATAGGAGTATTGATATATGAAACGTGCACGAGCCACACAAAGACGATACAGCTATCATACTTTCTCACCTCCGTTTTATGTTTACACTTCTGGGCACAGCGGACGTGACGTCACACACGTACTAAAACTAGCATGACCTCAGCTGACACCGATCAATGCAATCTGCTGACCGGTTCGTTCCAGATAATTCCCCTAGTTAGCGGGTGCATATATTTAATAAATGTGAAAAATCATATTATAAAATGAATACACAATGTTCAAACTGTCTGTAACCTATTGAAGAAGTACGAGAAGAGAATTTTCCTCTGCCTGTAGGGGAACGCTATAGTTACACGCCCTCCTCCGGTTTGAGTGGTTTGACAGCAGCAGGGCCAAATGTATGGTACCCACAATCTATAATGTACTTACCCATGCTTGTTGACTTTCCAGTGGTAATTGGTGATTCAAACGGAGGTAAGCAAACAGACAAAATGCAGCAAGCCTTCTGTTCTCTCTGGAAGCTAAGTCAAGAATGAGATCAAACTAAGCGTCTCTCCAGTTAAAGGCAGGAGGGGATTCATCCGCGTCCAAAGCAGTAGCTAGGCCAATGGAATTTGGCTTCACTATCAATGAATCTCTCACCTATACGACTGAATGTAAATGTGTGTCATTCCTAAGAGCACGAGTATAGAACTGAGTTCTTAACCTGACATCTTGAGCCATAACTAAAAGAAACTACATTTTTGTATGGCTAATTATTTTACGGACCTTAGGACGGAAACAAAAACCTGACTGTCCTGTTCATATAGAACACCTGGATGTTTTTGTGTGTGTGTGTGTGAAAGCATTTTGATTTCCTCTTCTTGATGCACCTGGACGATAGACTGATTGTTGAACACCTATTACATTCAACTTTTCGAGGCATTTGGTTGACTGAGTGTTTGTTTAACACCTATTATGTTCGACTTCTTGATGCACCTGGATGATTGATTGTTTAACAATTTTTACATTCAACTATTCTAGGCACTTGTTTGATTGACTGTTTGTTTAACACCTGTTATATCCCACTTCCTATTGCACCTGGTTGATAGACTGGTTGCTTAAAACTTTTTACATTCAACTACTCAAAGACAACATTTGGTTGATTAGCTGTTTGTTTAACACCTATTATATCCAACTTCTTGATGCAACTGGTTAATAGACTGTTTGTTTAACACCTACTACATTTAACTTCTCGAGGCAATTGGTTGACTGACTGTTTAACACATATTTTACTCGACTTTTGGAGGCACATCGTTGATTAGTTGATAGTTTACACATATTGTGTTTGACCCCTGGAAGCATCTGGTTGATATATTGACAAACATACATTATACTCGATTTCTTATGGTGCTTAGTTCAATAATTCATGGCTTACAACATATTATTTTAGACTTCTTGGTGGGCCTGGTTGATTGATTAAGTGTTTAACACATATTATACTCGACATCTAGAGGCACCAGGTCTACAGGCAATCACTATTATCAAGTATTTTCTGTCGTTTAATATTTTGATGAACTTCATAGTGACAAATTATTTGTTTCAAATTTCAATTTTCCATATTCTCCATACATGTGTAGAAAATACTCCACGGGGAAGGGTGGTTGGAAAGTGGAACGGTTTGGGGGGTCACAGAAGAACAGATACATTAGGAGCCTACGAGAGGTCATTTGTCTCCCCATGGCTCAATTAGTGCGAAGAATTTCCCACACATGTATATTTTCTATTCGCGTACCACACACACTTGTATCTGACGTTCCATGATCGATCTTCTGACACTCGAAGTTGTTGATCATATCAGTCAGAAATTGGGTGTCTCACTGAGGAGTAAACATACTTCGATCAACAACGATTTTCTGAATGTTCATGAGCAGAAATTAAGCTAGAAAATCGTTTCATTTATAATTTTCTACACTTTCAGAAATACGTCGATCACTATCCAAAATACATTAATCTAACATCCCCCCCTCACTCCAACCCATCATCTTTTTCAATTAACATCCCCCCCACCCCCTTTCCACCTTTCCCGCGGCTGAGGTTTGTTTGTTCCACATCTTTTCTTGTTAGTTTGTAAAAACTCTTTTTGTTCAGGTTGTGTTCAACGTGTGGTCCTTAATAGCTCCAGCAGATGACAGGCCTTGCCATTAGTTTTCGGACTGCTACGTTTATGTTCATCATACCCCTCACCTGGTGACTGATGTCGTAGGCATAAAGACGACCCTGGTTGCAGAGAATTTATCTGGTACCGAGATCTTCCTTCAAAATTGTGCCCTACTCCATGTTGGACTCCAGCTTGACCATCAAGCAGTAACAGTTGCAAAGTGGATCAAAGTAAGGTTTTCCGTGGCCTGCCAAATTTGGTTCTATTGATGAACTGCTACTTGGAATTTGCGGACCAGCAGCTGAAAAGCATTAAGAACTCGGACAGTAATGAACTCACTATAGAAAAACAGTACATTCCCAATGAGGTGAACACATAGAGTCTTCTTTTAGACATCCAACAGAAATTAGATTATCTTGTCCAGCACACCAATAATGTGGAAGCCAAGACCGAACAACCCAATGGCACTCGCATACTTGCATCTCACATACCCCAAGCATCCTAAATGCTATCGTTCAAGGCATCCGCCGTTAGGCGTTTTGGGCATATAGTACTAAGACTTATATTTTATTGACCAGTCGGTACAAGGTGGGTGATGTGTTCAACATCACTTATGTGTGTGTGTGTGTGCGTGCGTGTGAGTGTGTGTGTGTGCGTGTGTGTGTGCGTGTGTGTGTGCGTGTGTTTGTGTGTTGTGTGTGTGCGTGTGTGTGTGTGTGCGTGTGTGAGCCGATTTTGTATGTTCATCCGTCAAACTTTCTAATTCATAACGCAAAATAATGATACCTTACCTAGTCCACGATTTGCACCTCCGAATGTTTGAGTGTCGGTGGAGTACGACACCTCGTAGCACTGTTCTCAAACGCGCGTAGATCATTACCGGGCACCGTAATGGAACGTGTCTGAGTAGCAGCGAAGACCGGATAGTCGCAGGAAAAATTCCCCACAGAAGCGTGAGCCGCCACAACTAAAAGTCAGGTCAGTTACTAGAGTGGACCTTTCCGCTGGTCATGTAGGCATGACCAGTGAAGGTATAATCCATCCCAGAAGCCCTGTCGGAGTTAAAAAAAATCTGTAACTTAGTAGCCGTTCGGCGTAAGCTGTTGAAATTTGGCATTCAGCCTCTTAATCCGCATTTTACACCCGACTGAGGCCACTGTAGTAATTTTTTTCATTGTTAACAAACATCTTGTTTTCACTTTGCCAAACCCCCCCCCCCCCTCCATTTTCCTTCCCTTTTTTTGTGGTAAATTAATATATTAAAAAAAAAAAAAATACATTTATTTAAAGCAAATATTGCTCACAGAAACTTGAGTAAATTGAATAAGGGTAACTTTCCAGAACATCAGATTGCACGCGTTTCACCTTCAGGCGGTCATTTTTATCATAAGTCGCCCATGAGTTACGAATTTTTAATTGGGTGGGTAATATGCTATTATAATAATCACCACCACTCACGCTTCACGTGTGAAATGATTTCCAAACAATCTCAACACATGTGTAAATTACTATATATACTACTTTTTTTTAAAGGGGTATGCAAATTATTAGTCAAAGATTCCACCACCAACAACAAAGACAACAACAACAACAACAACAACAAAAATGGGCAGCGTTAAGAAAACAGAAGCATCGGTGCAACTGTAAATTCGAAAGTCATAAAGACAGGGGACAACAAAGGATGCATGCAAAAATCCGTGTTGATCCGTACAGGAATTTTCGAGATATTTATTCAAGCACGACGGCATGCGTTTTAAAACGCACTATACTTGGCCTATCTTTCATCTATGGGTGATGTGATCAGCAGTCTGCCATAGAATTATCTGAACCATCAGTTTCCTAATATCTTCTGGTCGCCATGAGAGTGGATCCAGCCAAATCTGACGTCTTCGAGGATCTAATCCCTTCTCGCCTCTCTCACTCTCTCACTCTCTCTCTCTCTCTCTCTCTCTCCCTCTCTCTCCCTGACTCCCCTCTCTTTCTGTGTAGTAGTCATTGTGATTGTTTATGTAATATTAGTATTGTTACCAGCAGATGTTTTAATGTCTGTTTCATTGTTTGTTTTAATGAACTCAGAGTTTCAATGAAAAATGACAGCACTTGCTGAGACAAGTTTATAATGCATTACCTCCTTTCACAACATCATCATGACAACACCAATAATAACAACAGTAACACGAATAGCACTAACGACAGCAACACCAGTAACAGAAGCAGCATCAGCAACAACAAAAACAACAACGCTTTTTCACTAGAGCAAACTTTACTGTGTGGTCTAGTATGAATTGAATCAAACCTCAAGTCGTTGTAACAGCAAAATAATTGATTCAAATATCGTAGGTAGGTTTTACAATAGAAAGTTTAGTGATGTGTGTATCGTGGGTGGGTTGTTGCAACAGAAAGTTTAGTGAAGTAAATATCGTAGGTAGGTTGTTGCAACAGAATGTTTAGTGACGTAAATATCGCAGGTGGGTTGCTGTACCGGTATTCTGAGTGCCACAAATCAGGTAAACATTAATCGCATCTCTAACTTCATAGTTAACGGTCACCCCATAGTTTATCATTTCCTGTACCATCGAAATCTACACTGAATGTGCGTCACTTTCCATTGTGTAAAATTTGACACAGACTGCAGTCTCAGCAAATCCTGTAGCCTACGTATGCATAAAATGCACAAGGCAGCCGTCAGAAGTGCCAGCACAAATGATCCAACTTAAGAAATGCAGTTCTTTATCGATGAAAGCAGCAGTTACAAAAGATCAGTATTTGCAAACGAGAGTAAACACGCCATATTGCACCATCAGTTTAGAGGCAACAGGCCACTTGCCATTTTCTGACTCTGCAGTTCACAATACAAATCAACTCAAGCATAGTCGGGAAGCATTCCGAATGAAACCTGCAGCTGACAGTTTCATGCCATGCACGCAGTCCAGTAACTGGGCGACGGAACTGTTTACTTTCAGTTGATCTATAGACAAAAACGCAATGGCCAACTTTTGTCAGAAAAAAAAAATTGTTATGACACACACACAGTAAATTTGCATATCACTCACTTTTGATCGATTGTGCCGAGGACACAATATCACGTGTCAGTTGTACCGGTTAGTTGCGTATCCTTTACAGTACGTTGCAGAACCAACCCCAGCAGCCCATGGCTGTTGTGTGGTTTCTCTAGGCAAATTTACCTCCAGCAGTTTGCCATTGCTTTCTGGAAGTCGGCTTCTTGATACCACTGTCGAAACCAACGCAAGGCGCATGGCCAGCATTTGGGATCGAACCTGGCACCCCGACATTACGAAGCGTTCGCATCGACTTAGCCACAGAGCCGACAGTTGTTGTACCAGAGGACAGTTTAAGTAACTAAGTGGTCACACTGAGATTGTGTTTTGAGTATTTCAAAATGACGCACTGGATTTGATGCAGAGATGGTTCGGGAAAAATGACTGTGGTTTGATGAAGAGCTTGTTCTAGATATATAAATGGGGTTTGATGCAGCAATCGATCAGTATAAACGCCTGGGTGTTGAGGAATAGATCTTTCAGAATACATGATAGGGAGTTTGATGCAGAGATTGTTCATGAAAATTGATTGTGATGTGAGGCAGAAACTGTTCAGGACAAGTGATGAGAACAAGTTTAGCGAGAGAACAGCCGAGGAAATTATGTTACAGCTGTCAATGGAACTTGTTAGCTGGTAACCTCCTGTCTTCAAAGTGCACGGGCGTGGTACACTATAGCAAGAGTTAGCCATATGGCATTTCACAGACGTAACTCTGTGACAGAGAGCAATCGTCGTCTCGTAATCCAGAGTGACTTGGGTGGAAACTGACACAATCTTCCAGGGCGTCGTCGGTAGCAGGGTCACTGGCGTCAAACACATTAGTGCGCTCGATCAACGTCACTTCCTGTCCGTCTTCCCTCCAAACAAAGGTTCCTTCTTGCTGCAAATCGTCACAACCTACCCACAAATTGTGGTTACCAGCAACCTGTGAGAGGAAGGAATATTTCTCAGACGTTTTCACAGACGCCAAGTAGGCGCCCTTGTCCTGACAGTCAGCTCCTGCTTCTGCATAATTTGCTGGCCCGAAAAGCGCCACGCAGACTACCGTGTCCCCATAGATCGCCGCACTGAAACCCGTAGAGGTATTACAATGGAAGCTTTGGAATAGATCTCCTTCTTCAGAGGTCGGGAGTGGTTGAGTCTCATTGGTCAAGGCGCTGGGTGTGCAAAGGCCCGTTGTAGAATTAAACAGGAAACTAGTACAGTTCTCGAATGCAGTCATACAGTGGTTGGCACAAGCTGTTCGAGACTTGAGGGTCCTGGAGTCTCCCAGCCGAGTTGGACCCCAAAGAGGATTGGCTTGAATCTGGAAGTATCGGTGAGTTATGCTGGCAAACGTCATTGTTTGACAGAGAATCACAAAAGCCAGAGCTGAAGAAGACATATTCATTTGTTAAGCTGGGTAGATTTATGTCAGTTTATCGTATACTAGCAATGCTGCAACTACTGCAACCGAACAGTATCAGTCTATAAAAAACATCAAATATTAGCTAGCACTGCCGAAGCTGATACTATCTATCAGTTACCTCTTTATAACAAAATCCAGTGCAAGCATTACTGAAGTTGTTGC